TACACAATGAGAGCAGCTACAATCTAAGAACAGCAGGAATATAAAGATGACCTGTGTCATGAAATGTGGATGGACAGCAGTGGGCAGCAGGTAGCATGTGGCTTTTAAAGCCAGCATCTCACTCCGGGGCTGGCAGCATGTAATTGACTCAGCAATGCGACAAAGGCAGCACATCACTCCGAGGTGATGCCCTTTTAAGTGGACATAGAGAGCTCCCCGGCTTTAATTGCTCCAGAGGAATATCCAGCTGAGTAAATGGACGACATGTAGAGTTTCTTAGGTCAGGAGCACCAGGCGAGCTGTAGCACTGTAACGTCTGTGACAACTGGGCCTAACAGCGAGCAAGAGGCTCGTACATTTTAGTCACCGCTGTCGCCTGATCACGCCCCCTAGCGACAACCTTTGACCTCCCATGGTGCAACACAGTGTCACCATTCAGTGTCACCATTCAGTGTCACATCTCTGCAGAACTCGACTTTCTCTAGAGCGTATTTGTCTCAAAGATGCCATGTGCACCATGCAGCAGATCTGGGGTTTCGTGTTACTACTATACGCACAAACTGATGCCCAGTTAGCTACTTTATTAACTCATGTTTGCATAAAACACAACAGCTTACGGACATTAACTGAAATTGATGGCCAGCAGGTTATTTATTGACAGTGTGAAGAAAACCTTTTTTTAACATGGCCTTAGAAAATTCGGACCAGTCTTACCACGCTTGCTGACATATTAACACGCTGAAACAGCAAAAGAGATCATTAATAATCATTCATCTTTGAACAGAGCGTTTTGTTTTCTATGGCAAGTCAATTCCCATTCTCAAACTTCTATAGTAACACATAAAAGTACAAGATAGGAATTTAGTGATTCAAGGATGAGTGTGCTATGGGCTGCAGAGCAAAACGGATGTTGGAATACAAATTCATCAACGTCACATTCAGTATAAGTTACATTTCTTCATTCAGACACATTGCAAGAGCATAATAAACTAACAGAACAGAGGCTGCTATGCAGAAGATTGTCGGGTTACTTTGTTAGCGACATTACCGCGCCTTGCCTAATCGCCCATTCAGCACAGAGAAGGTAAATTTAATTTGGATACAAATTCTGGAAACCTTGCACAATGTGCAGCAGTAACCCTAATGAAATTAAGCTCAGACATGCTGGTTCATTTTAGTGGAAAAATATGCTTCCCCTCTGGCTTTTGTGCCGCTCCGATCAGCATCAAACTCAAGTACGGGGGCTAAATCAGGTTCTGCCGGTATGGTGCCAGGACACCAATGAAATAGCTAAGTATTTCTGGCAGTATAAAAGTAATTAAACCGTGCGGTGGAGATCAGCTTATCCGAAGCAAAATGAAACATTCCCGAAATAGTTGGGCTTAAGTTAAGCCAGCATGGCTTGCAGGTGTAAGTAGAAAATCCGACATGAAATCCATTGGTCAAATATCCGGCAGACCATTATCGACTTACTGGGGCTACTGGGTCACCTGCAAAAAGAATTGCTGTGCTATATTAACGTCAGTTAAATGACAGACATAAGATGATGGCCTTTCCCTGAAACTCCTTTAAAGACACCTGTCCTTATGGTATTATGTTGCGGATATGAGTTTGTGATCATTAAAATAACACACATAAAAATCCAGATATTCCCATTTAAACAATGGTAAACTTGATACCGAATGATTTGTCTAAAATAATGCAATGTTACTTATCTATTTAACAAAAAGGAGTTGGGCCATGGAGAACTAATAGGGGCTATACCTAAACACAGGGATACAGAAAAGACACATCTAAGAGAAATAAGAGCACCTATAAAATCTGGAAACAAGTGGGAAACTGACACTGACATCTACAATGCACAACAAAAGACAAGGCAAGGGCAAGTATGAGTATATATATATACACACACACACATGAGAGCTACATGAGGGGCAGGTGTGGGCCATAACAATTAACTAAACACTAGGAATGGGATGGCCAGTGATACCTGCTGGCCAAGCCAGGATGACACCTCTCCTAACAGTTATAGTGTATGGCTTCCCCAAGAACTTGCAAAAAAAAAAAATGAGTTGCCTAATATTTTTATGTTTTCATTCCAACTATTTTGGTAATAAACAGGATACCAGTCAAGGACCTAGCTAGAAATTCTAGGACTCCTGTCAAAATGTCACCTTGGATCCCCTCCATGCCCATCCATACCCCTCTCTCAGGGTCAGCACCACTTTGTCCCAGTCTTTCAATTCCCCTCCTTGTTTGGCCAGCAGGTGTCGCTGGCCATCCTGTCCTCCCAGTTGTCAGCCTTTGAGTATTCTCATGTTCCCCGTCGGCCTCATGGCTCAACAAGTTGAGCATGCGGCTACCTGTTAACCCCTCTGTTGTGTGTTTGAATCCTGCCTCCTCTGTTTTTGTATTTTGTTCCCTAGAGATTTATTGGTATCAGTTTTCCTAGTTCCTAGTGATTTTGTGGTCTTCTGTTTTGGTTTCTTGCTTTGTGCCTGGGTTGTGTTTTACCTGTCTTTCTTATTTCCCCAGTATTAGATTCTGTTTCTGTCAGTTTCAGTTTCCCTGTGATCTCCCAGTGGCCGTGAGTCAATAATTAGTTTCACCTGTTGCCTGTTTTCTTGCATCAGTCCTTGTGTGTTTCTCCCTGATTGGTTATTGTTTCATGTTTCACTCCTGCTGTGTTGTTACCTGGATTATTTTCTGTATTTAAGTCCCTGTGTTAGTTCAGTTCCCCAGTGGTTCATTATATGAATGTCTGTATATGTTAGTTGTGTTATTTGTAGTCAGCCAGCCCCTCCATTTGTAGTTAGTAATTGTAATCCCCTTTCTTAGTTTTGACCCCTCTTGTTTTGTAGTATTCCCTGTGTTTTCAGTTTTGTGAATAAACCCTCGTGCCCCCTAAGCCGCCAGTGGTTTGTCCACCTTTATCCGTGCCAGAACCGCCCGGGTTCATGACACTCTCATGCTAATCCAGGGGTGCCACCACAGATTTTGGGCTCCATGAAAGCACATTATATTGGGTCACCCAACCCAGACCAATCCAACTATGATCCCAATATATTAGGGTCTTAGGGGCCTTTATGACCCACGCCCCCAGTCCAAAATCTATCAGAAGGTACACAGACTCAATCTACAGAAAATGTATGGATAACAATCAGCTTATCTGGGTGGTTTTAGACAATGGGAGGAAATCAGCAAAACAGAGGGAACATGCAAACACACGAGAAAATAAAGACGGTACAAGCCGAAGTTAATAAGCCAGCTCTGGATGTGTGCAGTAACTGTGCTACCCGCTAATTCACCGTGCCGCTCGGCGACTATTACGTGGAAAGGAGTTTATACTAACATCCAACACTAGATGTCACTGAACACTCGATTAATCTTGTTACTTCTTGGCTAAGATCAACCGTTGCGCACACCGCAGTGATCTTTTTTAGGTTTGAACCAATGGGGTTTTTTTATCTAGCATTTTAATAATGGAAATGTATCTGTTGATTTTTTTAAACGTAGCCTGGTGTCTGCATACAGTGCTTCCAGCTTCACTTCAGATAAACAAGCAATAAAAGCTTAAAACAGAATGAGGATATTTGAAGAGTTACTTCCCATTTCAAGATGACCCATTTCATTGTTTAATTGGTTATTCTATGATAATACGGGCATATATTTACAGGTTTTGAGAAGTGCTGTTTCTCATTTTGCTCGTAAGTAACAGAAATACAAATACCTTCATTTTGATGACATTGGCATGTTAAAAACCAGTCCTACACAACAATGTCTGGCTACACTTAACTGTTGTGGCAGTACTTAGTTACCGCTGAAATGTCAGACTTCATGTAAAACTGTCTTCGTAAATTCAGAGCTATTCTCATTTAAAAGGGCACATATTTTAAAAGGGTACCATTGCAGTTTGCCCCAAATGTCATATACTGTTGATTGCAGTTTAGCAGTACTATATTATATTACCATTGGAAAAAGATTATTCTGAGAAATTCTGATATTATAAGCAAAAACATTTGAGGAAATGGTGGACCTTAACAATAATTGGCTTTAAAGGTTATTTTTTTACGTGAGGGGGGAAAAAGATAAAGCTATATATTCATATTCTACTATGCTTGTTTCAGTCAGCTGTATAATCGACATTAGATTGATATACCAATGTAGTTTCCGACAATATTTATTCAGTATGTTAATTTGGTTGTTTGGCAACGACATAAGTTCGTTCTAACAGCATATATGTTACGTAAACAAACCACTGGGAAAATTAACCTCGGTAAATATCACTATCCTGAATGTAATAAAGCCTGTGTTTTCTTGTACAGAGATAATGAGTTTAGTATTGATAGTTTACCTCTCCAAAGCTCATGAATCTACATTGCCTTAAGCTCACGGTCTGATAAAATATTCATAAGTGATTCAGTTGGCATTCCCTGCTCCCTTGGACACCGGGCTATTTTTGCAGAGAGGCCTCTTGTTATTTGCGATGCTGTCCAATTTTGCTTCTGTTTCCCCTGACTATGCTCCGGTTCTTCCCTGTGGGATACCGCCCGATGTTTACATGGTTTCAGTACCGGCATAACGTATGGCTCCCGGACCAGCGCACAAATAAATCCAAACTATTCCCCTTTCCCACCAGTCATCGAGCCACTTCCACTACATGCAGTCTGAATTTTCAGAAAACTCTTTGCACTGCAGATATCCCAAAATTCTTCGGTGTTTTTCAATGGGCTCGGGATTTGATAAATGTTCTAGTACTTCAGCGATCAACACTGACATGGTGACAGGCTGCAACCAGGGGTATTACACTATCCGTGTGATTCTGTACAGTATATTTATTTGTACCTACGTTTATGCACAAGTGATATCTATTGCACTGCTACATCTCTTGACATATTTATCTAAGTTAGTGAATTTCAGAACAAATACCCATGCTGGAAATTTCTCCAAGCACACCGTATGAAGTCAGAGGACAGACACTCGATACATTAAATTTGGTCCCACACACACATCGCCCGAATTCGGCTTCAGAGGATTTCACGCTAAACGACTTTTTTGTCTAGCGCGAAGCTGCAGAAAACTGAAGGGAACGAGAGGAAAAAAACAGCTGATTCAAAACAGGAGAGGCGGAGTTGGAAAGCAGGCAATCGGTGAAACCGGCGGCGTGAAAGACGCTGCCGTAAAGGGACGCCGGTGGTCGTAAACTGGAGAAGTGGGAGCGGAATCCATTGTGACGCTTCGGGGTGTTTCGGAGGAGCGGGGTTCGGGGGCGCGGGATACTGCACACAGCACGCGCCACACGGGTCCCCTTCGCACGCGGAATTTCGCGTGGGATCCGGAGCAAAGCGGTTGGGATAAACGCCGCTGTGCAGGGCCATATATCCGCAGCTGGAAGAGTTTGTTTGCGAGCCTGATCGCCGACGATCGCTCTCTAACCATGCAGATAATTTGAGGCTTTTGAGTTTTTCCTAATGGTATTTTTATTAGTATCATCTAGCCGGATACGCACACAATGTATGTGTTCACCCGTGCCGTGTTGTTACTATGTATTCGTTAAAGAAAGAAAGTTATGTATTGCATATCTATTTACGAGTTTAAAGAACTGGGCAGGGATTAACTTAGCTGCGTGTGGGTAGTTTTATTACGCCGTGCACGACTAGCTTGGCGTTTCCAACCGAGACGGATGGAGAGAAGAAAAGTGCGAGAGGTAGAGCCAGCGATCTAAAGCAGCCCGCAACGCGTCCTCGCCCTCCACGCCAGATAACCGGAGCACAGGCACGGAAAAGTGACGAGACGAATCCAGCGCTCGGGGTATTAAACATGCCAGATCTGCTCCTTCACCCATTTCCCCGGACGCCTGCTAAGATACCTGATGATTGCAAGTCTGAACTCTAAATGGGCTCTGAAAACCATGGCGGAGTCCTGATCGACTGAATGCTGTTACACTACGAAGAGGTAAAACAACTAAGTCACCATTGCAACTTCCTTTTTGCCAATCGAGTTAGTTTTGGGACGTTACACGGTGGTGGTTTTCTAACGCTACTGAAGCGTCAGCAGGGGAATTTTATTAATTTAATGACTGTAGTCTAGTATTACACTCTTGAGTCTAGCCCAGGAGTTGTGGGAAAACTTAAGAAAGAAGCCGTGTAACAGATTTATTTCCAAACCTGAGCTTTAACTTGAATGGTAGCTTAAGATAACGAAGAAACAACGGGCAATTCGATAAGTTTGGAAAGACGCTCCGTCGTCTTCTGCAGTTACATGTTTTATACTGTCTGCAGATTACTTCATCTAGAGGGTAATTATATTGAAATTGTATCTGCCTTACGTCTACTGCTTCTTTTATTCAGGCATAAACAAGAATACAGGTTATACCAAGATGGCACTTATAAACCTATATAAAAGAGTCCTGTTGCTCCATTCAGGACGCGCAACCCAAGTTGTTGTAAATAATTTAATGTTGTTACATTTTACTTTGTTTTGACTTCGCTGTATTTCACGGATATTACAAGAGTACGGTACGGTAGAGTTGACTTATTTGAGTTGTCTCAAATAAAGCATTTTATCGACGTAGTGAAGTGCAATTTCTAACTGTCTCCGGATATGGGCTATAGCCTACCGTTTTTAATTTTAAAGGTGTCAGTTTTTCAGTTTATATTAACATTGTCTTTTAGTTGACGCCCCGTTTGGGACGGTCATCCAAACTAGGATTGTGTGGGCATTTCCTCGTTTAGTTGCACAATTTCCGGATTTGCATTAGTTACATGATTATAAATGCTACTCGTTATCAGAAACTGTGATTTAGATTCGTCGGATGTGGTAGTAGTGCGGAACAAAAAACAATTTAGCCAGTAAAGCTATTAAATCACTTTTATAACGGAATCAATCAATTAGGGCTTGCTTACCATGTGATAAAACAATAATAATAATAATAATAATAATAATAATAATGCTATGGTATGAAATATATTTGGACAAATAGAAGTTTCTATTTTCTCCCCGTAGTGTCAGATATCAGAAAAGTTAAGGAGCATATTTACAGCCACTCCGGTGAACTCGGTCAGCAGCGCGATTGATGGTTTTAAGCAGCTTCACACGGACGTTTTTCGTTACGAAGGATCCCCAGATGGCAGCGGTGACCGGGACCTTAACAAGCCCTGCACCTGAGGAATGGTCTTCATTTTCGGCACCTTAATAACGCCCCGTGCTTCAGTGTGCTCCACACATTATTTACAGGGATGCTCTGCCTAGTCCATCCATGTAGGCTGTCCGTTGTATCCTGTTTTTCGCAAATTGGATTTCCTTGCGGTATGCTGCACATTTAGGTCACGGTAGCTCACAATCGAGACCTTGCATCTTTTCTGCCGAGAGGGGCACATTATTTTATTATAGACACTAATTTAAACTGACGTGGCTGAGTGCTGTCGTTATTTTTATTAACATGGAAAATATTTTAACATTAAATTTTTTGCACATCTTTGATGTCATAGGGACACGTTTTCAGTTTAAGGAATGCGAGTAGATGCCGGTGTTTACAGTTGGGAAGGTTATGGGTTTATGCTCCTTGTTCAGGAGTGTTGGTGTATGTAAATTGATGGTGTTTGGCTTTATGCCATAGTATTGAATGTTTTTATGCAGTCAAGCGCAATTGGCGACCTTGACAACAGAATTGGTTCACATGCCGGCTGTGTGACGATTGTCCTAGTAGATGCTGTCTTCTATGATGTATACTTTTTAATTGGATCTACCCCAGTTTTTAATTCTTTGAAAGCCCCAAGGTGGCTCTGGTGTGTTTATGTATAACCTGTAGCTGTGGGGGCCTGTTTGCCCACCAGGATGTGTGGATCTCCGGAGTCCGGAAAAGCGAAATTTGGACTGACACGGGTTGGAGTGGGAGGAGAAGAGCTCACAAAGTTTGGCTAGAAGTTACTGGAATGTGACTGATATCTGCAGTACCTGGACAGTGGGGTGGTTTTAAGTGATGGTGCAGGGGTTGGGGTTATGGCTTTCTGCTTGAAGGTCCAGGGGAGGGTTTGGATATCGTCCTGCAGAAGTCGGTACCTTCATGGTCTGGCCTGAAAGCTCCAGTCTTCTCGCACGTGACATTGGAGTTCGTTCCAGGGTTAGAGGATTAGGGACATTTATCCTTGGAAGCGATGTCAGTGAACCTGATTGGCTGCTTCTTCGTGGCTTTTTCTCATTGGTGCTTAAATGGGTCTGACCTCTGCTTTTTTTTTTTTATTTGGATTGGCTCCTGAAAGACAGGTGGGGGCAGATTGTAACTCGAGCCAAATTAGCGTGCGTCATCCTCTGGGCCTTTGGTTAAACCCGAGGTGGCAGGGAGGGGCCTCGGAAAAGGTTTGAAGTGAAAAGGTTTCTGGTTCAGCCAGCCTGGTGGCCTGGAACTGTGTGTGATGGGTACAAATCTGCAAATCTGTGTTGGGGGATGTTACAGGACCCTCCGGCTTGATGTAATCAGCAAATAAAGGTCAGAATGTGTAGAACCATCCGTCTGCATGTTTACGTTTTGAGCTTTTATGTAAAGTGGGGGTGATTTTCAGCCTTTATTAATCCAGGAACCCCCCCTTCCCCCAACTAAATATAGACCAGAGTTGTGCATGATCACCAGATGTAAGCATTCATTTTCTTTGATCTAAAGGGGGGAGGTGCTACTGCTAAATCTGAATGTTGAGATGTTGCAAAACAGAGAAACCCCTCAACAACTGGTCTATGGACCCTGGGTTTGAGAGGATGTCCATAATGGATGGTGGACTACATGATGACTGTTATAAAAAAAAAAAAAAACTATTAAAAGTTGTATTTTTAATTCAGGGGTGTCAAACTCCAGTCCTGGGGGGCTGGAGCTGTTCCACCACAAATGGTTCATCTCAAGAGCTGTGTGGTTATTAGCTCAAGGAGTTGAATTAGGTGTGTTAAATGAGGGGAAAACGAAAAATGTGCAGCCCCCCCCCCTCCACCCCAGGACTGGAGTTTGACACCCCCTTTTTTAAAGTGTTTTAAATTACTTTGAATATCTTGTGGTTTGGTGGCTTTAGTCTAAAACAGGGCTGGGCAGGACCTTAGAAATAAACCCTCACTCTTATAAGTGCAGTCATTTATCATAATACGTTTTAAATAGCTGCCATGATTAAATTGTAATGATCTCGAAAAGGTACATCAATCGGGCCTCGATGGAAGGTGGTCTTCATGGCCATGTGTAACTGTGGGCATGCTGACGTTTTTAAAGGTCATTGCCAGGTGCTTTAGGATGAATGTTCTCAGTTTGGTTTTGAATGAGATGGTAATTATCTGTTTTTTTGTGTTAAAGAGATCTTATTAATCTTTTGTTTTAGGTTACAACTGAAGTTTCCCACTGGCAGCTTGCTGAAGGCCTGAGAACTCAGATGGATCTTCGAGCCGATGGAGATGTGAGCTTCTCTATTTGCTGCCACCATGGCCATACATAGATGATGACTGCGATCAGGCCCCGGGGGTGATGGACCAGTGACGTGTTGTTGCGCTTCAGCCAGAGCCCCTCCCCACGTCAGGCCAGAACATGCTGCGTTTCTCCTCCCTGAAGCTCGGCCGACTCTACAGGTGCTTCAAGTTTCTGCTGGTTGTGGGCCTGTCCGTGGTGCTGCTGATGAACACGCACAGCCTGCTGGCGTCCTTCCAGAGGAACGAGCTCGCCGACCGCCGCTTCATCAACCTGAACAAGTGCCCGGCATGTTTCGGCACCAGCTGGTGCCGCAAATTCATGAACGGCCAGGTGACCTTCGAGACGTGGGGCCGGCTGCGCTTCCTCGACTTCTTTAACGTCAAGAACGTCTACTTCGCCCAGTACGGCGAGCCGAGGGAGGGCACCAGGCGGATTGTCCTCAAGCGCCTGGGTTCCAACCAGGAGCTGGCCGACATCGACCAGAAAATTTGCAAGCGGGCCACGGGCCGTCCGCGCTGTGACCTCATCCAGGCCATGTACAAGACGGAATTCGCACGCCTCAACGGGGATGTGAGGCTCCTCACCCCAGACGTTGTGGAGGGCTGGTCTGACCTGGTTCACTGCCCTTCCCAGAGACTCCTCGACAGGGTGGTTAGGAGGTACGCAGAGACTAAAGATTCTGGAAGCTTCCTCCTTAAGAACCTCAAGGACACTGAACGGATGCAGCTTCTGATGACGCTTGCTTTCAATCCGGAGCCCCTTGTTCTGCAGGTGCGTTGTGCTGCACAGTCTGGTCTTAAGGAAGCCTGGTACCATTTGAAACATCTTTGTTTAGATCCTTCCATGTATAGTAGGGGGGCGGGAAGGAGGTGCCGTGGTTATCATTGTTGCCTCACACCTCTAATACCAGGGTTCGAGTCTGGCGAGCCAAAGGAGGGCCCCGGGTGGATTGCCCTTAACAAACAAATTTATTTTTGTATAGCGCGTTATCACAACATTACATCGTCTCAAAGCGCTTTACAGCATCCCCACCCAAAGCCCCCAGTGAGTAAGCCATAGGCGACAGTGGCAAGGAAAAACTCCCGAGAAGGAAGAAACCTTGGGAGGGACCAGACTCAATGGGGGAGCCCATCCTCCAGGGGCCGGCAGGGAGAGTCAAATACAGTAAATTTTGAGACATATAGGAGGAGGCCGGGGCCCGGCTCTGCATGTGGAATTGGCATGTTCTCCCCGTATCATTCTCCCCGTTTCCCCCCACAGTCCAAAAACATGCCGAGGTGAATCGGAGCTGCCAAATTGCCCGTAGGTGTGCTTGTGTGAACGAATGGTGTGTGTGCCCTGTGATGGTGCCCCCCCCTGGCTTTTCCCCCACCTTGCGTCTGTAGCTTCCGGGATCGGCTCTGGACCCTCTGCAACCCTGCACAGGACAAGCGGGTACAGAAAATGGATGGATGTCTGTCTCTGTTATATTTATCTTTCAATTAAGCAACCAATCCATTGGTCAGTCAGTCAATCTTGGTGTCTTTTATTATGTTTATATGAAGTTAAATCCTGGTGAGATTTAGCATAGATCATAAGTCTATTACTTGGATTAACCATGGTAGGATGTGATGTAAACTGTCATCTTTAAGAAATCGCTTTAGTTCAACATGTAGTGTTTCAAAGGGGCCGGTAAATCTGCCGCAGCCACGCAGACGTCCTGCGCTGAGAGATTTAAGTGCAGTCATTCCCCTTTGCAAGCCGCCTGCTGCGACATGTAGCCCAGCATGCGATTCTGAATCATTGAAGATGTGTGTCCCTTAATGGATACTAGGGATGTTTTTGCCTCTTCAGGCTACTGTCTCAGCATGAGATCTGAGGGATTTCGTGGAAATAGGCCACGGACCAGTTAGGATGTACAGAAGATGGCCTGCTTTAGCATTAGCACCGCAGCTAATCGTGTTAGGTGCTAAGGTATCCCATGCTCCGTTGGTCCTGGGGGCTCGACCTTTCTTTTTTACGCTGATCTGGCAGTACTTTCATCGCGGATAAGATGTCATCACACTTCACTCGAGGCTACTGATGAATTGGCTCGCTCCCTGGCATGTTTTGACTTGGAGTCTGTTTACGAGGATCAATAATTTTGTTTTATCCCCCTCTATACTTGGCAACCCTCTTGTCTGCATATCGTAATTGGAGATGAACAGCCAGGGGTTTAATGCCTTGTGTGGTCCGTCAGGAGTGACTTCGTGGGTTTGATTTGGCTGTAATCGCTGCCCTATGTCCGACCGGCCCTTCCAACGCAGCAGATGAGAAAATGGTTAAGTGGCTATTTTTCTTGGGCAGCACCACGCTGTTTTCCTGAACTTTGTTTTCTTATGAAACGTAAGCTCAACGTCGTCTTTGATTTGCTGACTGTTGCGAAACCTTCTCCGAAACTTGCTGTGTGTGTCTCTGCCGTCTGTCCTCCTATTCAGCTCTTCCTCAATCCCAGCCTATAAGAGTGTGGTAATAAACATATAAACCCAAACCCTTTGGATGAGTTCCTAGAAACATGTTAGCAGATCTGTTGTCCGTTGACGTTTTGACTGTACATATGGCACGCTCTGCTTTTTATAGAACACGGTGGTTTTGCGGTTGTTTACATAGTTATTGGGTAGGCAATACATTTTGACCTCCTGGTTTCTGGAAGGAGCTCAAAGTAAATGGCTTTATGTGTCCGTGTGTGAATATGAGGCTTTACTCTGGAGCCTGTCACACGTTAAAGCTGTTTATTTATACTATATCCTGTGTGTATCTGTGGGAATCCCTGCCATCTGATTTTAGGCAGCCATTTGTGACTCCGCTCACTTCCTTGTTCTTTTAAGGATGTGCTTGGCAGGTGTCCCTGGCTTGCAGTGGGGGTAGACTTGGGTGGGACTTACTGCAGAGACCTTTGAGTCCACCGGAGGGGCGCATTGCCGGACACAGTCCATGTTTGCGTCTGCTGTACACTCGAGGGGCCCCCGCTCCATTGTTGCATGTTCAGATTCTTCCCCTGTGTGATACCCTGCCCCCCCCATCCCGTCATTGGCTCGCCCGCGGTTTTTCCCGCCCTTTGACTATGTCTCCGCTGCTTCCTTAATTAGAGGGCCTGTTTACTAATTGCAGACTGGGACTTTGAGAAGCAGATGGAGATCTCTGCGCTCAAAGAGCAGCGGTTGAAAAGGCATAACGGCAGACAACGCGGCGCCCCCCCCCCCCCCCCTGTGCTGACGTGATCTATTTCACACCTGGGTTCAGGTTCACCTACACCACAGTCAGGCCTTACGTCATCCTCCGCTCTTCTTCCTGTCCTCTCTCCTCTGAAAGCAAGATTTGAGGTTAGGGGTGCAGTGGAGGGAGTGACCTCTAAAGCCAGACCACTTTTTTTTATCCCCTGCACCCGCTAAAAGCACCGTGACAGAGTCATTCTGCCCCCAATGCTGCTTTTTTCTGCTGCGTCTTCGCGGATATGCCTCACAGCTGTTGTCGTTTTATGCACGTGGGGGTGTCGTAGCCAGGTGAAGGATGGGGGGGGGGGGGGGTGGTTATTTGGCATCTCCATGCTGAGTTCTTTTTCTCTCGTCTTTTTCGTCACTCTCGTTTTTGTTAGACCGGATTCCTTGTTTGGGCACATCGGTTTGGTTCATCATCATGTCCGGCTCGTGCACAATGCCAGGTCACTTTCTATAACCGCTGTTAATTGATGAGGGGAAAAATAGTATGAGTTATGAGTGTGATTTATTTATTTGATTTTTGGACACGCTGCCTTGTAGGAAATCGGGTCCCACCCGACCAACTGTACAAGACGCCGGTGGAGCAGAGGCTGCTGGGAAATGCAGGAACAGTGGGGCCATTGTTCGCCGGTGAAGGAAGCATCACGCTTATTACACAACGGCTCTCAAGTTTCCTTCCGCGGTTTTCTGCAACCTTTCTCCAAGCACCATGCCCCCCCCCCCCCAAACACGCAGATTTTTTCAAGGAGAGGGGTGAAATTACACCCCAAGGCTTACCCACCTCCAAGCCCCCCCCCCCCCCCGACTGTTTTGCCAAAAGCTCGGCATGTGTTGGGGGTGGGGGAGGAGGTCTGGGCAACGTGCAGATGGGAACGCGCGTGTCGTGGGACTCGCCGGCTGGGTTTGGGGGAGGGGGCGGGGTTGCAAGAATACCTGGGTTTCCAACAAGCTGAACCTCGGATATTTGTGTTGGATGGTGCTTTGTGGAGCTTGACATTCCTCAGTCCCTGGGGGCTGATTTAGGCCAGACTGAAGGGATGAGGAAAAGAGGAATGAGAAGGTGCAGAGAGTCATTATTGAAGACGTGAGAGTTTGGCGCCACCTAGTAATGGTGGGAGGGACCTGTGTGTCCCATCCCATCTTCCTGACATCATCTCATTGCCATGGGGTACACCAACACGTCTGTGAAGCGCAAGATCGTGCCGTAAAGCTGCAGTGCCATGTGCCTTGCTTCGGACCCCTCCGTTGACGGTCATTGACCATTGCCATCTCAAGGGCTCGGCCTAATTAAGACCTTGCCGAGGAGTGTTAGCTTTACGTACACAACTCATTCATTCCAATCTGTCCCTCGTACAAGTGTGTTTTGGTAGTTTTTGGCAAGATGTCAGTCTTGGTGCTCCCTCCCTTCCCCCGGAAGCTTCACAATTGAAAGTTAACGGCGCTTTACCTTGATGCCTGGACCACGGTTGAGGATGAAGCCCTATATAAAAAGCTGCACGTTAGCCTAGCCGCGCTGTTTAATGCAGTACTGCTGTGAAGCTCCATTCCCCCCCGCAGTGAAAGGAAGTTCTCGCGTCCCATCAGGAATGCTCTGCCTCGTCTGTGGGTCTGTATTTTGTAAAATTAAGAATTTCGATCTGCCATATTTACACGCGTGTTTAGGATGTAGGCTAATGGATTGCCGGTACCGGATCTGCTGCCCGACAGCCCTGAATTCCTTGCTGGGCTACTGTCAATTTATGAACATCCTACGGTTTGTCTTTAAAAATTCCTCCCCTTTAATTGTTTACGTTTTTTGTATGTATGCCACAAATTGAAGAGGCTGCACTTTAATGAGGCAGGTGTCACTAGAGACAATTTCAGAGTCTGGCTCTGTTCAGCGGTTCAGCTGCTTTACAGTCTGCTCTTGCATGTGTCTTAAAGTCCCTCTGGTGCAGTGTTTTTGTTATAACCGCTGATATTGTGCTTTTTATTTTTATATTTAATTATTCTCAGCATTGGATCTCAGGAATGTTACATTCAATGTCATGAACATTTGATGTTTGTGGGGAAGAAGTTGGATCAGACCATTTTATAAATTCTGTATTCTGATGAGGCTTGGGGATCGGAGTTTAATGCTCCCATTTTCTGGTACCTTCCGCAGAGCTTTCCTTCTGATGAGGGCTGGCCCTTTGCCAAATACCTGGGGGCGTGTGGACGGATGGTAGCGGTGAACTACGTGGGCGAGGAGCTCTGGAGCTTCTACGGCGCCCCCTGGGGGAAGCGTGTGGATCTGGCCCGGCAGCTGATGGATATCGCCGAGCAGCTCACCAACAACGACTTCGACTTCGCGCTGTATCTCCTCGATGTCAGCTTCGACAACTTCGCAGTGGGCCCGCGTGACGGGAAGGTCATCATCGTGGATGCAGAAAATGTCATCGTGGCAGACAAACGTCTTATAAGGCAAAGTACGTGACTCTCGGTTCGACATTCCTTTTTGGTGCGATGTTCATGCAATTTTCTAACATTTACTGGAGACGATATGGAAGATTGAGGCATTTAAGTGTGAGGATTTGTTCTTCATTTATATAGATAAAATTCAGCTTAAGCTTTAACTCCTATGTGACTCCGAAAGACCTTGTGTATTTATGAGTCGCGATTATTGACACGAGCCCAAAATCTTTAGGCTAAATCGCTTCTGTGCAATTCAGGGCTGTGTAAATTGGTTCAATAAAGCTGTAATCTCCTTTGGGTGAAATAGTCAGCTAGCTAAATATAACTGATATAAATAAAACTATTAACACTAGGCAACTAGGCAGGTTAGATAAACTGAGAGGGGAAAAAAACTGCATTGGGGGTGGAGTGTGGCTCAGCGGGACCGGATGCTGCATTTGTGATCGGAAGGTCAGCAGTTCAGAACCCAGGGTTGTCATATTGAAGTCACTCCTGAGGCCCTTGAGAAAGGCTGTTACTCCTGGGACTGTCTGCCCCTAAATAGATTAAATGTAAATCTCTCTCCCCCTCCCCCCCCCTTCCCGTTTTTGGGTTGGGATCACATGTGTCAGGATGATTTGTGTCAGGTTTGTGTTGTTGTTGATTTCGGTGACTGACGTAGGGGAGCAGTGGAGTGCTGAGGGTGGCCTGGTTGGCAGGGGTGGAGGTGGAGCAGATGGCCCAGGGAGGCCGGTGTGTGGGGGTGGGAGCCTAGAGCCCTCCGGTGGTAGAGGGAGTCAGCGGTCTGCCAAGGCGAGGAGTCCACACCGTTTCCCCGGCTCCCGCTAGCTGCAGCCACAGCTATGTCTTTTTTAAAAGCAACACAAAGGTTGAACCTAATTTGTTTCCAGTAACACCTGCAGGTCGGTCACTGATAGTGCAGGCCTGAGGTGATGGTGGATGACGAAGGTTGACTGCCGATTGTGTGTTTGACACATTCCATCGCTTGTAAGGCTTCTCTGCGTTTATCTGACCGATTGTGTGGGAGCGGCAAGATGAAAGGATGGGTTAATTCCATTTTCCTGAGAACTGGTTTTTCTTGAAGGTTTGGGAGGGGGGGGGCAGAGGCCTTGGGCTAATGAAACCTGGAGAATTACAAGGCTTGTCTCTCCTCAGGAGATTACGTTGCACCCCCCCCCACCCCCCTCACCCCAAGTGTGGGTGAGTAATCAGTGAAGTCCATTGACTTAGAAACGGCCCACCGTGTGAGAGCGAGCTGATCTCACTCCCAGGCTGGATTTAATTCTGGTTTCCTACCTCAATGGTTTAAAGGTCTGGGGTGGAAGACAAGCTGCATGTCTTTTTCTTGGGGGGGGGGGGCGGGCATGGCTGGCTGGGGGTGTAAGGTCAGCTGATTGAGGTTGCTCATGTTGAGTGACTCAATCAACATTACCATTGTTCATATCTGATGGTATAACTTGATGTTTTGTATCTGGATGTGTGTTCGGACTCATCACAGCTTGTTTTTTGGAAGGTGAGGGGGCATTTTGGCTAAAAGGAAACATTTAGCAATGAAGGTCTTTAACCTTTGTGTGTGTTGACCCTGTCTGGTTCCATTCTGGATCCTGTAAAGTCTCTCAAAGGATTCCCATCCTTATATGTGCTGTCACACACCCCCGAACACTCCCCCAACCAGGGTGATTCTCATAGGCACCTTCTCCTGTCTGGTTTTGTTTGGGTTTTGCTCCTTTGCTGCACATTTTTAATATGCGGCCATTTACAGAAAAGCAGATAAGAATCCAAATCCTGTTAAGTGATTTTTAAGTGATTTTAATCCCGTTAAGTGGTTTTCAGGAGCCTGGGGGGCTTGCATGTTGTCAGTCATAAATGAGCATCCCCACCCCCACCCCATCTCCATGGCTACCCTCTTTAACTGCAGCTGTACAAGTGTCTCTCACTTTGCTAAACCACAGTTAAGTGGTGGGATACGTTACTTAGTCACCTGTGCAAAGGTGCAGGAACCGTGGGGGACAGGTAACCCCCAACATTTAATTTGGCCTTACAACCCCCGCACCTAAAAATATATTGCATTTTTATTAAATTAAATTAGTCTTATTATTAAATTATTAAGTTGTGCCCAATATCAAACACTCTCCTACACCTTTGCATCATAGGAAATGCTTTTCGGTTGCAATCAGGAAAATGTCTTAAACACTGGAATGTGGTGCATTCACGCTGGCTGACCCAGCCAGAACCAGGCTAACCGCTCTTCTACCTGCGCCCCCCGCAGATAAGCCGGAGAACTACGACGTCTGGTATGAGAGCCACTTCGAGGACTGCGACCGCGAGGCGTGCCTCTCCTTCTCCAAAGACATCCTCTGTTCGCGCGTCACAGTCGACCACAACTATTACGCCATCTGTCAGAACCTTCTGTCCAGGTACGCCAAGTGGCGAGGCACCACGGGCGGCCTGCTGCACGACCCCCCCGCTGACGTGGCCAGAGAAGGGCGGCTCGAGGCCCTGCTGGACGAGTGCACCAACCCTAAGAAGCGATATGGTCGGTTTCGGGCTGCCAAAGAGCTGCGCGAGTTCCTCACTCAGCTTAGTGAGGTTGCTAGGTAATGAAAGGGGAAGGCTGTGCCTCTGTGGCCACGCCCCCTTTCCTGTTATCACCACAGCAACGGCTAACATCAATCATCTTTCCTCACCACTTTCTCAGCATTGGAAATAGTAGGGATTATTAGCCGGATGAAAACCATTTTGCATCAAGTTCATGACCTTTTCTGTGGGATTTTCTTTTCTTTGTTTGTCTATAAAGGGGATGGTTATGAAGTCATTTTTATAAATTTGCACTTTCCTATCCCATGAGGACGGGTCATGTCACTGTAGGGCATGTCTCTGCCCATATTAATCCTACCGAGGTTGCCATGGATCCCATTCTGAAATTAACCCGCAACTACATCTAAATCGATATGATTTTTTTTTTTTTCTGGTGCTCTCAATTCTCCCGGATGGCATCCGTCCTCCTACCCAACCTGCTCCGAAGTGGCTATGAAGCTGCTGAGATGTGGACCCCTTTATCCACTGTACAGTCTCCTCACTTCCCTGGTCTTCAGTCCATCCTTTGAATCAAAATGTAAAAGAGGTTGGGACTTTAGGACATTCCTTTGTAGGGTCAATAATAGTTTTTCTTTAATGGGATTTTGCGATTGTCGTCCACATATTGTAAGTGTTGTGCATATACCAAAGATTCTGGATATATGTAAATTGTTACCCCATTTCTGGAGTTCCCACCACCTGATGAATCATTTACACCTTCTGAAAGCTTGATTTAAGTCTTAGTTTTAATGTCATAGGAGTTCTTGTCCTTAGAGGAACAGTCAGGGAAGTTGTCTTGTTTTTTTTTTTTTTTTGGTTGTTTGGAGACCTGAACTAGTATTGATTGATTAAACAGGTTTACGATGGTCCCCAACTAAGTAATGGTTCTGATGTTCATACAGAGCTTTGGGGACATGTTGGTGTGTTAAGGTAACACATTTTTATTGGATTTTATGCCCATGGCTGATGCTACAAAATGGAAGTATCATGTCTCCACAAATCCAGTTTCCTTGGTGATTTGTATGGATTTTTTTTTCCCCCTTCACATGCTTCTTTGTGGCGTTAAGCCAACGAAGACCCTTGGATCAAGTGGTCTTTATCTACGTGCCCTTTTAGAGTAACAGCCAGAAGAACGTGGTCAAGGATCATTAAGATCCCCACCTCCCCCTTGAAGTAATGGGAAGTTGAAGGGGAGGTGATTTCTAGTTGAGATGCAATAATGCTCAGTATCAGTATCTTGCAGTTGTCCTCTCCACTTTGGTAACAGTGTCACCCCCAAACCTGTCAGGCACCCAAAGCAACCTGAGGGTCTTGTATGTTTGCGAGAAACTGTCCGCTTTTGTACTGTAACTTTTTTTTTTTTTTTTCATTTCAGTCTTACGTCAGCAACGTCTGATCTTTTTTGACTGTGCCTTTCATTCAAAAGTTGTATTTGCAACTTTTAGTGGGTTTAAATATATTAAAAGAATCTCTATATATAATCTGACCCTGCTCTAGACTCTTTATTCCCCGTCTGTCTTTTTGGATAACTTAATTTTCTCCTTTCAAGCAAAGTAAATGATTCTCTCTGATATAAAAATAGGGATTTGTAAGTAATAAGCTTTTGGAAGAAGACATTCGGCGGAGGTGAAATCTGAGCCTTTTCTGGAGTCTGTCGGACTGTCGCTGTAATTCACTCAGTCCCTTTCCCCCTCTCTCACGCGCATGAACTACAAATCTAGCATGAAAGCCCCAGGAAGAACCAGTACCGGATCCAACTTGGCAGTACAGTCTGGCTAAATTTAAAACCTCCCCCCGAGAGGCACTTGCCCTGAATGGGGAAGGAATAAAGCATTATTATATTTTTAAAAAAGGGAAAAAAATATCTTTGCTGCGCTGCACTTTTCTGAAACACCCGCTAAATCCGCCCAGTCACGCATACGGACGCAGTACGGCAACAGACTCGAGCAAAAGCGATCAAGCTGATATCGGGGCTTCTCGTGGCTGTTCGCCCGAGTCCCACTTCGAACCCGGAGGGCTTTCTCCTGATTTAATAAACACGGGCGCCCTCAGAAAGCGGTCTGAAGGAGCCTTTTATTGAGGGTGCTTAAAATTAACGGAAGCAGCATGTCTTTGAGATCCAAAAAGAAGGAATCTATTTGGGACGGAAAGGTGAGGTAGAGTGAGGTGAGGTCAGTTGCTGAGTGGATGTTACCGGTTAATGGAAAACTGTTCATTTGCATGTAAACTTGTACAAATAGTCCCCCTCCCATATTTTGACTTAAAATCCCAGGAATAAGAGGGTGTTTAAAATGGTTAGCGTCATCTGGAGACCGCGTCAGCCATTTCCGAACTTTCCCGCCGGCGCTTACCGAATCGCCACCGCCATGCTGCGTGTCTTATTTTGGCCTCGCCGCGTCCTGTTCCTGGGGGCCGCGGGGCGGGACAGCAGGAGTGCGGGGATGAAAAATGAACGACGACACCAGGACGTTTCCTGGAAGCCGGAGAAGCCCCTGGCTGCAGCCTGCGGGAAGGCGAGGTTGGAAATCCAACACGGCCTACCCTACGTCACCCCACGAGCCCGTCAATCATGCCGTTCATTCGTATTTCGTTTACGCAAATCACGCTGATGTTCTGAAGAAGCATTTTACGGCGATTGGTTTACGCTTTAACCCAGCAGTTTGTTTTACAGTAAACTTTTTTTTTCTTTTTAGTAAGTGGAAAGAGTACGCTCTAAAAAATAAAAACTACAGTATAGTAAACACATAAACCAGTAACATAGCTGTTTATTATCAATTACAGTATTATTACAAATTATGATTTTTTTTTTATAATCGTATAGGAGCACCCGAGTCCGAAACGTCGCTATGCGGCGCATGACGTTCATGGTCACAACGGTCATATGGTGGGCACATCAGGACTATTTAAACGTTTTAGGACTATTTACCCTTGTTTATGTCGCTGTATGATGTCCATAATATAATTTCAATCTGATATCAATCTAATGCTTGTCTGTGTTGATTGGTTAATATATTGATTGGTGTATTAATATAGCCGGAGAGTAATAAAACCCATTGCAATCAAGTATGCAGTGCATTATAAAAGTATTCAGTTATCATAATTTTACTCAATTACAAAGGATAGTTAAACGTTTTCCAAATGAGCATTTTATTGCATTTCCAAAGGTACTGTAAGTTATTTCTGTGCCAACATTAATTAATTAAATAAACTTAATTAAATAAACTTATAATTTAATGTCGATATAGATGACAAATTATTCACAAATGATAGAGGACAAAAATATATATTTTTTATATGATTTATTCAAATTAGATTTCAGTCTATTCGAGTCACCCGGCCTTTTCATGTTCTGAATCTAAGGGCAATTCTTAAGGGCATTTCAAGGAAAAATGGAGCACTCATAGTAATACAATAATGACTTGAATTACACCATGATAATTATCAATATCGTTTGATATGATCATGATAAAAATATTTTGCTATATCGCACAGCCCTAATGGATGCTACCACAGTGGCGTTGCTAGTAACCCATAGGAAGCATGCTGAACAGTCGTTTGAGCAGACAGTAATATCTGATGACGCACAAAGTCTTTAATGTTAAGTCTTGTTAACTACACGGAAGCTATATTATCGGCAAGAAGGTATTTACCTAGTTACCATAGTTTTGGTAGTGAGCTAACTGATGGAAACGTTTAACCAGCAGCAAAACAACCACATACAACCATGCGGGTCCCACAGCAAATCTTTGTGCAGTAACTGACAGCGTGTCTAGCAGAAACAGTAACAAACAAAATAATACATAATAGATAGCACTGTTATTACACTGGGACACAAACTAAAGATTTTTAACTTACTGACATAACAGGCACTACAATGCTTCCGTTCTGCAAGTTCGCTTTGGCTTCCGCTTTAATTAAGACGTGTTGGACATGGGCGTGGCTTTCACGGTACGAATGGGCCGGGTTGGATGTGGGCGGGTTTGGATGTCCAACCCCGCCCTCCCGCAGGCTGCAGCCAGACATACTTGGGAAGCCGCGGCTCCGCAAACTTGATGTAAAGACTATTTCATGGTTTGTCAGCCCCGACATAAGGAAGACGTTTTTAGAAATGGAATAACCTACATTTTTCCAAAGGAAATGAATTTGCCCACTGTTGCATTTGGTTTATAAATAACAATGGACTGATCTCTCTTGGGGGCTTTGGTTTACATTTTTCCTCCGCTAGTATTTATTTTAGCCCCCTCCCTCCATCCAAAATTTCAGTGATTACAGAGCAGTGTGGGGGATTTGGGTGGAGTCTGTGGTAAGGGAAGTGTTTTTACAGACTGCGACGTTTGTTAGATCGGTTAATGAAAAGCACCTTCACTAGCTTTAGCTGCAGGTCAAAGTGGTGCTGTTTCATAAGCGTTAATTTTTGTCATGTCCAGCTTTGGAGATACGACTGCATTTGGAGTCCTTTTCCCCCTCCTTTTCCTGTACATTTTGGTATGGAGAAACCCCCAGTGGTTTTTCCTCCCCTGAGCCATCAGAGGCCTGTGTGGTCGAGGCCCAGAGAACCTGGGCCCGGCATCTGCCGGAAGCTCCAGCCCCAACTACTTGCAGTTCCACTCGCCTGCTGGCCAAGGTTGTGAACGTGCAGAACATTACATTTGTGAGTGACAGAGAGGCAGAGTGGGTCGTTTTTTTCTTTTATTTGTGTGGAATCTGAATCTAGGAAAACAAAGTATAATATCATGAAAACAGTGACTTTACAATACCTGTTTCTTCTTGCCGAATAGATCCAACAGCCCCCAGTCATATACAAGCTGTTTTATCTGCCGCGCCACCCCGATATTTAAATGTTTTGGCTGGTGATGATACTGGATCTTGCACAGATGTGTGTTTTTTTAAACCCTGGGATGCTGGTGCCCTGATTTCAGAAATGCGCGGCTCACATGGCAGATGCCGCTGGATGCCTCCTGTTAACGCCACACAGCCTGTGGTTCGCTAGGGCCCTGCGGGGACAGGATACGGTCTGTGCTGATGTTGGCGCTACTGACCATAGAGTGCGAGCGCTAAAATGGCAGATGTTGCACTGATAGCCTCGCTCCACTTGTGAAAACCCCCGTAAACAAGTCCGGCTTTGTAAACTTATACAATTTTCTCAGTCCATTTAGTGTAGTCATGGTAACAGAAGGTGGGTGGGTGGTGGTGGGGGGGGCAGGGGGAGCCTAGCTTAGATATTTCCCGTTATGTTACGACTTTGATTATATTTGAAACTATCTGCTTGGTGACACTTCAGTAAAAGTAGCCCACCCCCCTGGCCAAAAAAAAAAAAATTAAAAATGTGACGGATAGATGCTTTGGTTCTGAATTTTCAGGTCCTTTAATGTCAAGCAATACAGGTGGAGTGGAATCAGCCTAATTCCTCCGGGGGTGTACAGGCACACAGACCTTGGGCATGTTTGCTTGGTGCAAGCCCGGAAATCTGCCCCCCCCCCCCCAAAGTGTCCTGGCCTGTGTTAACCATCCACATGAAACGGGACCCGGTGTTCTCCATCGCCTTCTAAGGCGCCCGCCCAATTCTAGGAGAGAGAATGGGGGATGGGGCGGTGCGGTCACGCGTTATCGATCTGTCAGATGGCTCGGCGCGGCGTGGGCCCGGACCCCGGTGCGATGGTGGATGCCGGCTCTGACCCAGGAATGGAACAGGAAGTGTGTGAGAGCCGGGCAGCCGAGACTACAAGCTGCCTCCCCTGGCGTACGCGTCCGTCCCCGGGAGGAAAGCCACAGCGCCCCGCCGGTTCGGGGCGGCAGGGTGGGTATATTTCTGCTTGCACGTGTAACACGCCATTTCAGAAACAGGGGAGGGGAAATTAAAGCGGGAAAGAGATGGACTATAACTGCAAATGAATTATTCTCAGGTTTAAAAAGTGAAAATATGCAGGATCACATGAATCAGTTTGTGACCATATAAATGAAAAATTCACTACACTCCCAAAAGACAGGATGCATAGTTATGAACCATCTTTTTGTTCCATGTTCTCTAAAGAAATTGTTTGGCTGAATTATAATTAGGGGAAGACTAATTCCATGGAACATGGGTTATTGTGCGATTCCTCTGAAGAGAGTGATCTGGGTTTTAATTCTGCTTTTCAGTCCGTCCCAAAGATATGCTTAAGTTATCCTGAATTGGTGACATTGCTATTTTTCCCAGCTTCATTCTCTGCCAATAAACTATTTTCATTTCATTTCCCTCCTTTAATAGCCTCCTGGCTTCTTCAGCCTGAGGGCTGTTGTATGAATGGGAAATTATATTTTACCTCTTCAAAGGTAGAACAGCAGTGGTCCTTGTTGGACTTAAACTTCTGGGCTATTGTTTTATTTTTTATTTTTTTTAACATCCATCGTGCTGCTGTGACGTCTCCAGTCTCATGCTTTGTGTAGTAAGGCGTAGGCACGTGAATTAGGAAGCCCCACCGTGAAATTCAGTGGTCTGGCCCATGATGCTTACAAGCAATGTTATTTAACTTTAAAAGGTCAGTTATTCACCTGATGACTTTTGAACGGTGATCCAAACCAGGGTCGGGGTGGGGAAGGGGGGCGGCTTGAAACACTTCTTTACGTCATATTTGGTGATCTGCTTAAGGGACTTCTGTTGGCTCCCTGAAGGGGCCTCAGCTCCGTTGTTCTGCCTGAGGTGCCACGTGTGAAAGTGACGAGGCGGTGGGCATTGGACCCCTCCCCTTCTTCTGCACGGAACAAATGTCAGCAGTACGAACTGTCATGCCCTGAATGCTGAAATGCGACGGATAATCTGGCACCATTACAGAGGTAGCCATGGTCTTTTTTAAGAAAGAAGTTTCTCGGAAAGCCGGACGACCGTTGGCAGCCGATAATTGGGCTTTAGCGAGGCACATAAATGAAAGGCTGCTTGTTTACGGCTCTGCTTCAGTGCTGTTTTCTAAAGTGTTGAACAGCTAATTTGACAGGAAATTCAGAAACCCAGCAGTGTAGGTAAAGCACTTGTCATAAGCGCCAAAATTTTATATAAAAGTTTAGAGTGTGCAGCAGAAACAATTAAAACCTGTCAGAAAAACTGTGATGTTGTTGTTTGTGTTTGGATGCCAGGGTTGCAAGTTCATGAACAGACTTGACTTGTCTTCAGTGAGTAACATGGTTCACGTTTTAACCCGGTTTGGTTTCTGTCGTGTCCCTTTTTCCCTGAAATTCGTTTTCATGCCGCCTAATAAGAGAGGGAGATGGATCGACGCAATAAATGCACGCGTGGGTTCTGCTCCCCGTGAACCGCAATTCTGTCAGACGGCGGCGCTCGTCCGATAACGGGACAGTGTGTGTCGCTTGTCAGAGCAACATCTGTCTGGCCGCTAATTATGCTGAAATGGAACTAGGCTTCAGCCATTTGTTTTTCCACATACTTGCCTCTGTCCATGCGAGCAAGAGTATTTACCGCATATCAGATGTAATGCTAAAAGGTGGACGACCCCCTTGCAGTCTTTTAAAGCAGGGAAGATTTCATTGTGAGTTCAGGACTTTAACCACTGCGCCACCTGCTGGTGTGCGCTGTTTGTACCATGCTGTGTAGCCTGCATGGTGTGTGAGGGGCAGTTTGTTAGGGGATTTTTTTATGGGCCCCAGTAGCCTACACCTCCAGAGGATCAGGGTCTAGCGCTCCTATGGGAGACCAAAGCCTATCCCAGTTTGCCCGCTTGGATCCCCCTACGCAACCAGAGGGC